CCAGCCGTTTGGGTATTGCTTTTTGGCGTATAAGGAGTGACTCCATTAGCATTCGACTATACAGAGTAGAGTAAATGGAGTTCACTCCAAAAGTTCCACCTGGGATAGGAATCTTTAGAGTAAGCATGCGCAAAAGTGAAATATGAAACTGTCAAGCTTGATATGCTGTCACGTTGTGGTTCTTGCTCCGACCGTTTTGGTCGTTCGTGTATTAATTTTCCATTCTAATCACGTAAGAAAAATCTATTCTTACTCCACTCCAACTCCGTGCTGAATAGCCCCACCTAGCGTATACAGACTAAGGTGGAATAATAACTTTTATGACGTCATCGGTTTTCCATTAACAAAAAACCTATTATTTAGACCAAGGTTGAATGAATACTTTCATGACATCAACATAATGAAAATCTCCATAGGGTACCCCAAATGCCTCATCAAGCAACCTATCAACTTAAGGAGCCTTCTTCTTCTTCTTCTTCTTGGTTATTGGCTTTTGCTCCCAAAAGGGCAATTTGTCAGGGCATGTCCACACGATAATTTCCCATTATTTGTGACGTCAGTCGCAGACCTCAGGTTTCGGCGTAAAATGCATTATTCGAGTTTGAAACACATAGGCTTGAAAACGATTTCCTAAACGTTGAAATCACCTTTTCTACATTTAAAATCGACGAAAAAATTAACTTAATCACAGCCCAAATCGCAAGCAATCCATCGAGGTCCGTCGATGACGTCACTACTATCAGCTATATAGTGGTAGTAATGACGTCACCCGCAGACCCGCTGGCCAATGTACGCCTCATTAGGTCTATAACATCAATGCAATCCATAGCAAATTTCTGCAAATGAAGCAATGACTTTTCTATGACTTTTCCCACATTTTCTCTAACAGTTTGAAATTGTCAAACACCCAATAAACATTGACATTGACAAGCAAGCAAGTGTTGGCGGAAAAATTCATGTTTTCATACCATCGTTTATCTCTGTTAAACGTCAATTAAATCAGTAACAAAATCGTTTGCTGCAAAATAAAATTCTGAATTGGTTCTGGAGTATAATTTATACACAGTTCCAAATCGATCGATTCTGAATTGGTTTTAAGCATTCAACAAGAACCGCTATTTCGGTTCCGAACTCGTTTGCAGTAAAATAAAATTCTGAACCTGTTCCGGAGTAGTTTCGGCATGTAATCTGTGAACAAAGCTTCATTGTCTCGTTTCGAGTAAACTTTTTCTTTATTTTGAATAAGTAATCTTACTTTATTTACTCCGGATCCAAAATCCGAACCGACTGAGTAAAACTTTTTTTGCTCTTTTCACTCCAAAAATACTGTTCTGACTCCGTTCTATGTCATCATATCTAGTGCCCAAATCATTTTGAATAGAATCGATAGAGTAAAACTTATTTTGCTCTTTCAACTCCAAAAATACTGTTCTGACTTCGCTCCATGTCATAATATTAAGGGCCCAAATTATTTCGAATAGAATTCTATTTTAATAACTAGCAAATGCCTATCATTTGATAACTATTTCCGTTACAATCTATCATTAAAAATAGAATTCTATTTATTGTGTTATTTTCAATCCTATTTGAAAACCTTTAAAGTAGAATTTTTCTACTCTGAACAAGTAATCTTACTTTATATGCTCCGATTACAAAACTCGAAACGATAGAGTGAAACTTTTTTTGTTTTTTTTTTACTCCAAAAATAGTATTCTTACTCCGCTCCATGTCATAATAATTAGGGCCCAGATCATTTTAAATAGAACTCATCTATTTTAGTAACTAACAAATGCCTATCATTCGACAGTTCGATTACAAAATCCGAATGGGTAAAGCAAAACTTTGCACTTTTTACTCCAAAAATACTGTTCTAACTCGTAATTTGAATCAAAATTGAAACAATCAAAGTATCAATCAAAGTCGGTGCACATGGAACAGTCATAGTAAAATAACTAAAAACTCAAAATTAATTTTCAAATCAACCTATTAAAGTAGATAAATTCATTATTTAGTATTTATATTAGAGTAGAGCCTCTGGAACACCAAACCTTGGAGTAACTTTGCTAGGATTTCAATTTCATAGTTGCACCAGAACAATTTTTTTGGAGTAAGCTACATTAACACTACTCCGTCTAGCTAAATAAAGAAGCAGTTACTTTTTTTATTGTAATGGTTGGAGTAATCATTAGAGTGCACTGATTGAGTAAACAGTTGTGGAGTAATACTTTTTCTGAATGTACGGAGTAGTTAGAGTAAACAAGCCAACTTTAGTGCTGCATTTTGTGCCAGAGTAACACTTTTTGCACAGTGTGGTGCAAATTATTCGAAACTGTTCAATTTACACTCGTTCCCATAATCTAAACTAACAAATTATTTCAAAAATGTATTGTTCTGGAACAGTTATTGTAACTGAACTTGAAATATTTTGCGCTAAGTTTGCTCTATTTAAATAAACACCAAGTGTCGAAATTCTAATTTTCGAACTGGAACTTTTGGAGTGAACTCCATTTACTCCACTCTGTATAGCCAAACAGTAACTTCAGAATTATTCCAAATTCATCAAAAATGTGTTCCAGAGTATAAAAAAAGTAATGGAGTAGTTTTAAAACAATAAGGAATTCGATTAATATGAGGATCTTGAGACAAAATAAGAATAGAATGTATGTTCCGAGCTGTTCTCAAACGATTGAGAACAATGAAATCAGTCCTAGATAGACTTGGAACAATAACCGAACAGTTCTAAGACAATTTGGAACTCGATTTATATCAAAGGCGTTTTCTCGCGAGGCGAATGGCTCGATTGTAAGCCAATTCAAGACTTCAAAATCTATCCGGAACAAATTCTGATTGAATTATGAACAATCAATGTGCTCCAGTACAGTTTAGTTTAGTTTATTTCGAATTCGGAACAGCAATTGAAGCAATCGGTACTCTAAAAATCAATTCTGACATGATTTGAATTCGGTTCTAAATGAGTTCCTAATGTGATCCAGGACACTACTTTAGGATTTTCGTGCACCATATGCAAATGGAACTTATTTCAAGAATTCCGAATCAAATTTTTTAATAGAATAAAGTTGACTATTGCCAGGTTCATTGGAGCGGATTTATTTTTACCTGTGCTCTATTTGTTCTTGAACGAGATATAAAGTTTGCACGATTCGCTCCAATATTCAGATCCAAACGGCTCCGGACAAAATCAAAAGTAATGCCAAGTCGAAAACAAATGGAATTTCTAGGGGTCTATTTTTTTACTCCATTTTCAATACCTGAACGCAAATGGACTTACTCTATTCACTTTACGCTTCAAAATTGAATCTGGAACTGTTCCAGAGATGATTTGATGGCTCCTGAATTGTACGAGAACAGCTCTGAACACAAAATCTTCCTTTTCTGAACAATTCTATGTTGTTTCCTACTCCAGATTATTCTAGAACAGTCACATTTTATTCCAGAAATTCGAAAAATGTGAGCTTTAAATGATTCTAGAACTGGTTTGATATTGTTCCGTCTATCTAGGACTGATTCCATCGTTTGAGAATAACTCTGAACATATAATGTGTTCTGGAACAGTCATATATTGTCTCAGAATCCTCATATAAATTAAGGTTCTCATTATTTTGGAATTGTTCCATTACTTTTCCTACTCTAGAACACTATTTTAGGTTAGAAGTTATTCTGAATCGTTCTAGAATGATTCTAGAGTAAAAAAAGTAAAATTGTTCTGGAGATGATTTGATTGCTCCGAATCGTTGATCTGAACAGTTCCAAAACGGTTCTATGTTGTTCTCATCTGCACTTACTCTAGTATATTTTAGAACAGTCCCATTTTCTTCCACAAATTCCAAAAACTTTATAAAAATCGAGTTCTAGAATATTTTAGAACTGTTCTGTTATTGTTCCAAGTTAAAGGATTTTCTTAATCAAAGTACCATCCCGAACTGTTTGTTAATTCAGTGCACTTTAATTATTCCAATCGTTTGGGTACGACTTTTTAGAGTAAAAAGAGTGATAGGGTTATACAGAGTCGAGTAAATGAAGCTCATTCCAAAAATTCCACTTTGAAAATTAGGATTTTTAATTTGAATTTCGCCATTTTAGTGTGAATTTACGTGGAGCAAGCTTAGTGCAAATATCCGAAGTTTGATTACACTAACTGTTCTAGAACCGCAAATATTTGGATTTAGATTATGGAAATGAGTGCAAGTTGAACAGTTTTGAGTAATTTGGCTTTCACCGTGCAAAAAGTTTTGCTAAAAGTGACATAGAGTGTTGTACTATATTTGGATTGTTTACTCCGTTAATTCAAAAAGAATACCATGCCAGAACTGTTTACTCAATCAGTGCACTCTAATTATCACTCCAGCCATTTGAGCACGGTTTTTCATAATAAATAGTGTAACTACTGCGGACTGCGGACTCCAAATATTGTTCTGGTGCAACTATAAAATTAAAATCTTAGCAAAGTTACACCAAAGTTGAGTCCGGCTTGTTCACTCCAAGTACTCCGTCTGTATTCTTGCCTCGTTTCACTCCAACAAAATATAAAAAACTTGCACTATTTGCTCCAATGACCAAACTCGAAATGTTTCAAAGTGAAAATTGTCAAAAATTGCCACCATAGCTGCTTTTGGGTGCCACTCTCTGAACGCTCCCGAGTGACTCAGATGTACTCCGACTACAGTTTGGCCCGTTCGGTTTCAAGCGTTCAAGTGTAAAATGCAAGGAGTATGACAGGTCACTGACAGGGTGTGAAGTGTTCAAGGAGCACCCGAAAGCGGCTCATCTGTGAAATAGAACTTTTGGAGTATGTTCAATCTTGCTCCGTTTGCTCCGAAAACAAACAGAATCAAAAAAAAGTATTAATTCGTGAACGCGGTGCCGATTTTTTTACTTCAGGCTCACTTGTAAATGTTTGCTCTTTTTACTCTAAAGTGATCAAAAAACTGTTCCGAATCGGTATTAGGCAATTTCATTGGTTTTAATATAGAAATAGGAGATTCTGGAGTATGTTACAGTGAGAGTATGTATTTTGCTTTTGCCATCTAGCGGACGTAAATTGAATCACTCAAACTAATGTCGCCAATCGCCATGCCATCTAGCGACCCAAATTTGAAACATTAAAAAAATGTCTTAGAAAAATTTCAATTTATTATTGTAAATTTTTTAATTTAATGAATTTTTAAAAATAAATACTTATTGTAATTAGCATTAAAACAATGTCCGGCTATCATAGAATATTTAAGCTAAAAGGCTTTTTAAGCTCCATAAGAAATTTAAAGGTAATTTTGCATGTTGTAGTATTATTTATAGGTTATGTTATATCATAATATCAAATAATTTTTTTAGAATATTAACAAAATAAACGATAGTTTAACTAAAGAAATAGACGATTTGTGTAGTAAAAACAAAGTACTACAAGATTCCAGCAATAGCTTGAGTAAACTAAAGGTAAATTCATTAATTTATGAAGTCAAAAGCCAGTGTTTCAGGTTTGTTTTTCTTTTAGGAATTGAATCAGTTTCTGAGCAAGGAATTTGGAAATAAATCCCTATACTCGGTTCAGAATTGCTTGGAAGACAAAAAAGATGCTCAGCATAAAAGAAAGGTGAATAATTTACCTAAAAAAAGACACAAAATAATCAAATAATTTGTTTTTTAGTTCTTGAAGCCGAGACACTTGAAAAAGGAAATTGAAAAGTTATGCAAACACTTGAAAAGTGGACAAGTTTTAGGGGGCAGTGCCACATTTGCTGCCGCATCTGGACTCAGTTTAAGAGAAAATGTCACTACAGGTAATAAATTGTTGTTGTCAGACTTTTTGCTAAAAAATGTTTGACAATTTAGCAATAAAAATAACCTATGGGGAAACCACCTTAGAATTTTGGTGCACAAACTGATAGAACTTTTTGAAATCTCCTAGAATTATGACATTTTTTAGTATTTTCTAGCAATTTCTATAATCATTTAGAATTTTTAGTATTTTCCTGCTGAAATTGATCAAACACTAGTTCCTTTAAGCCTAGAATGAATTTTATAATGTTTGAAGCAAATTTCAAAAATTCCAGTCTTTTCTATTGATTCAAAAATTCAGTAGATTCACTCAACAAGCGTCTGAAGCAACTTCTAGAGCATTCTATTTCTAAGTCACTCTGAAAATGTCTTAACTGTTAAAATTGATCAAACACTCGTTCTAATGAACTTAAAATCGATTTTATATAGTGTTAAAACATCCAGTTACTTGTATTGGTTTAAAAATTGACTAAAATAACTTCATAAGCATTTGAAACAATTTCTTTATTATCGTATTTTTCGCAGTTTTCGTAATTTTTTATAATTTAAGTGGTTTATAAAAAATTTTGTACTTATCTTTTTTTCAAATAATCGTATTTTTAACAATTTTCATGAATTTTTTAATTTTTCATGTTTTGTATGATTTTTCATATTTTCTCTGTAATTATCGTATTTCTATTTTTTTACAATTATCGCATTTTTTTTGGATTTTTCGCAATTTTCGTTAATTTCTGTATTTTTGCCATTTTCGTTAATTTTTGTAATTTTCATGATTTTTGCGATTTTTTGTGATCATCGTATTTTTTTTACAATTTTCGTAAATTTTTGAATTTTTCATGTTTTTTATTTTTTTTTTTGCAATAATCGTATTTTTGCGATTTTCATAAATTTTTCTATTCTTTGTGTTTTTTACGATTTTTCATATTTTCTCTGTAATCATCGTTTTTCTATTTTTTTACAAATACATATCTCGCATTTTTTTTTTAGATGTTTCGCGATTTTCGTTAATTTCTGTATTTTTGCAATTTTCGTAAAGTTTGTGTTTTACATAATTTTTGTGATTTTTTATCGTCGTATTTTTTTTGCAATTTCTGTACTTAAATTTTTGAATTTTTCAAAGTTTTTGTATTTTTTTTGAAATCATCGTAATTTTCGTAAATTTTTATATTTTTCGTGTTTTCACGATTTTTTCTATTTTCCTTGTAATCTTTGTTTTTTTTTGCAAATATCACATTTTTTTGGATTTTTTGCAATCTTTGTTAGTTTTAGTGTTTTTGCGATTTTTTAAAATTATCGTATGTAGGTACATATGTTTTGCAATTTTCGTGAGCTTTTGTATTTTTCATGTTTTTTTACTAATTTTTGTATTTTTTTGCAAATGTCGCATTTTTTTGAATTTTTTTATAATTTTTGTTAATTTTAGTATTTTTGCGATTTTCATAAATTTTTATATTTTTCATGGTTTTTGCAATTTTTTGTATTCTTTTTTAAAATAATTGTATTTTACGCAATTTTCGTATTTTCTGTTTTTTGCGATTTTTCATGTTTTCTTTGTAATCATCGTATTTCTATTTTTTCTCAATTATATATTGCATTTTTTTTGGATTTTTTGCAATATGTATTCGTCAATTTCTATATTTTTGCAAATTTTTGAATTTTCTTTGAAATTGTTATGATTTTTTTGAATTATTTTCATAAATGTTTATGATAAAAGTCAAAAATTTATAAAAATAACAAAAATAAAAATTTACAAAAATCACAAGAAATTCAAAAAAATCATAAAAATTTAGGAAATCATAAAAAAACTCATGAAAAACACAAAAAATTCATAGATATTATGAAAATCAAAAATTGTAAAAATTATGAAGATTTACAAAAATTAACAAAAATTACGAAAAATACAAAAATTCGGAAAAACCATAAAAATTAATAAAATCAAGGAAAATTACGAAAATCACAAAAATCATAAAAATTAATGAAAATCATAAAAATTCAAATAAATCATAAAAATTTAGAAAATCACAAAAAAATACAAAAAATCAAAAATATCATAAAAATTTTAAAAAATTACAAAAAACCACAAAATTGTACGAAAAGAAAAACAAATCCTTTTTATAATTATAAAAATTCAAAAAATCATAAAAATTTACAAAAATCATAAGAATTTAGACAATTATGAAAAATACATACAATACACATAATGAAAAATATAAAAAATCTTCGAAAAAATAGATTTTTTTTTTAACAAAATTATAACAAAAAAAAACCGAAACAAAATAAATAATCAAAAGAAAATGGATTTTAAATTCGAAAATTTGGAGTTTAAAAATTTTTGAATAAATTAATAAATAAATAAAAAAACCATAAAAAAAAATAAATAAAAAAACAAAAAAAGTGAAATTAAAAAACCAAAAAAAAAATTAAAAAATAAAAATAAAGGAAAAAAAAAAAATATATAAGGTACCAGTCCCAAATAAAGCCATGTTAAGAGGTTTTATTTTTTCCAAACATTATCCACCAAATCCAACAAAAATCACGAGCTCATATGTGAAGAGTTTCGCTTTTTTTACTTGAATATTAACCCCAATTTATTTATTTTTTCATATAAGTGGTGACTTTTGCATAAAACAAAGACGCTTAGCATTGGCCTTATTTGGATCACTATGCTCCTAATAAGGCCACCATTAAATTTTTTTTTAAATAAATACAATTATTCATAAAAATATTATTATTTGAGAAATAGTGCACAAAATATACGTTTGTTGCATTCCTAAAAAAAATAACAATCCCAAGTCCTGGGATGGTGATCCAAATAAGTCTACATACAACTAGGACAAATGAACCGCAGCACCTTTTGCTTGGTTTAGACTCTAGGAATTTCAAAAAACATTATTTAGGTAATAATATGACACATTCTTTAAAAAGAAACACTGTGATGTGAGGCCAATTGAACATTTTTCGTATGATGGCCTTATTAGGAACATGTTAAATTGATAAAAAAAAATCTGTAACTAGAAATCTAGCAAAGATATTATTCTATACTTACTCTGTAGCTTTCTCAATACATAAATGTTCGTTAAGAAATTACAATTGCTCCATTCACTTTATAAACACGTATATAGGCTAATTGAGTTTCCACCTTCAAAGTTATAACATGACGTATGAAATATGTGGTTAGCCATTTTTCGACATAAGACGAGCTGCTAGGAATCCTTGCAATAATTTTTGATTTGCATTATAGATTTCTTTTTTAATAATATTGTGATTTTTGAAAATGGGATTCAATATTAAGCAATAAAGGGCACTGGCCTTATTAGGTACATGGCCTTATTTGGGTCACCTTATATAAAATAATATAAATTTTTTGCAATTTTCGTTAATTTTAGTATTTTTGGGGATTTTTATTATTTTTTAATTTTTTACGATTTTTTGTATTTTTTTAATTTTTTACGATTTTTTGAATAATCGTATTTTTCGCAATTTTCGTAAATTTTATATATTTTTTTTTTTTACGATTTTGCATATTTTTCTTTGCAGTCATCGTACATATTTTTATTTTTTCACGATTATTGCATTTTTTGAATTTTTCGCAATTTTTATTAATTTCTGTATTTTTGCCATTTTCGTAAGTTTTTGTATATTTCATGATATGTATTGTGATTTTTTAAATTATTGTATTTTTTCGCAAATTTTGTTAGTTTTTGTATTTTTGCAATTTTCGTAAATTTTTGGATTTTTTCATGTTTTTTTTTGTATTTTTTTCTGGGATTATCGTAATTCTCGTAAATTTTTTTATATTATCCGTGTTTTTACGATTTTTTGTATTTTCTTTGTATTTATTCCCTTGTATTTTTTTTTCGATTTCTTGCAATTGCAATGCTATTTTTTTTTGCAAATATCGCATTTTTTTTGAATTCTGCGCAATTTTCCTAAGTTTTTGTTAATTTAAGTATTTTTGGGATTTTCATAATTTTTTTAATTTTTTACGATTGTTTTGTATTTTTTTTTTTTTTTTTGAATAATCGTATTTTTCGAAATTTTCGTAAATTTTTATATTTTTCTTATTTTTTACGATTTTGCATATTTTCTTTGTAGTCATCGTATTTTTATTTTTTCACAATAATTATATTTTTTTTTGAATTTTTTGCAATTTTCATTAATTTTTGTATTTTTGCCATTGTATTTTTCATGATTTTGTGATTTTTTAAATTATTGTATTTTTTTCGCAAATTTTGTTGGTTTTTGTATTTTTGCAATTTTCGTAAATTTTAGGATTTTTCATGCTTTTTTGTATTTTTTTCTGGAATTATCGTAATTTTCGTACATTTTTTATATTTTTCGTGTTTTTACGATTTTTTGTATTTTCTTTGTATTTATTCCCTTGTATCTTTTTCGATTTCTTGCAATGTGCAATGCTATTTTTTTTGCAAATATCGCATTTTTTTTGAATTCTGCGCAATTTTCCTAAGTTTTTGTTAATTTAAGTATTTTTGGGATTTTCATAATTTTTTTAATTTTTTACGATTCTTTTGTATTTTTTTTTTTTTTTTGAATAATCGTATTTTTCGAAATTTTCGTAAATTTTTATATTTTTCTTATTTTTTACGATTTTGCATATTTTCTTTGTAGTCATCGTATTTTTATTTTTTCACAATTATTACATTTTTTTTTTGAATTTTTTGCAATTTTCATTAATTTTTGTATTTTTGCCATTTTCGTAAATTTTTGTATATTTCATGATATGTATTGTGATTTTTTAAATTATTGTATTTTTTTTCTCAAATTTTGTTAGTTTTTGTATTTTTGCAATTTTCGTAAATTTTCGTATTTTTCATGCTTTTTTGTATTTTTTCTGGAATTATCGTAATTCTCGTAAATTTTTTATATTTTTCGTGTTTTTACGATTTTTTGTATTTTCTTTGTATTTATTCCCTTGTATTTTTTTTTCGATTTCTTGCAATTGCAATGCTATTTTTTTTGCAAATATCGCATTTTTTTTGGA